TAGTTCAACCAGTGTCTTTTTGCAATAGAAGGAAAGTAGAAGATGTAAGAATTTGCGTGATTTAAAATATCGACACAAACTTTCAGTTGCCTAGAGAATGAAAGTGTAACTGCGCCTGGTGTTGTTATCTCTGTAGCTTGTATACTCAGGCATCTCTTGTAAGAGAGTTAAAAAGAGTTAATTCACTATTCAAGAAAGTAAATGATAACACTTTAGGCATCATCTTGACTGCTTACATGAGAGATACCTGAAGCACTCGACTTTAACCAGCCAGCTATTGCCTGAAGCCTGAGGGGAGAGAGGACATGAATGAGGAGGTGAATATATCAGAAAACGAATCTGATCTTAAAAAGAGCCTCACAGTCATGTGAAATAATGACTAAGACTGGTTGAGCTTTCTCCAGACTATCAGGTTCCTGCCGTCTGCAGCAAACCAACAAACAAACAAACGCGGCCAAATCAGGTAAGATCCAAATGCTCAGTTGAAATGTGAATGTGCCATATCATCATCATCGTATGTGTATAGAACAGTTCCCCGTATCTGCCTATACCCAACGCCTGCCGAGGATAACCCACGTTCTCCCAAATCGATCATACCAAGGAAAGCCAAAACCCAAGGAAGAGGAATGGGTGCGGGGACGATGGCGAAAATCCATTTCGCAAACTAACCACATCTTGGATTCTGTTGTCCAAAAAAAAAAAGAGAACACAAAGAAACTGGTATTACGGAGAGAGAGGACAAAAACAAATGGAAGATAAAACAAAATCATATAATAGAAAGGAGTGGGTATCTCAGCGCTAGTGATATGTAGAAAAATCAACATTCTGCAAAAGCGGTAAAATCGCTAGGCAGAGACATGATACTCATGTAGCAACCGCAGCAATAGTACCGAACAGAGAGGAATGATAAAAGAAGACAGAAAACATATGAGATTAACCCCCCCCCCCCTCCTTGCCTCATCCCAATCCATATATAGTATCAACATGCTTGCACCACTTTATAACAGTTCATGACGATGTAACTTCACTCTTCTTTCCTGGTCTTTTTTTTTTTTTTTTTTTTTTTTTTTTTTATCCCCTAAACAAATTATAAAAGTAATGATATCAGGAAGTAAAACAAATGAAAAGTTAAGAAGGGAAAGGAGAAAAATGAAAACCGGGTTAACTAAGGAAATAATTGAAATAATGACTGTCTATGAAACTTATACAGAACCTCCGTGCCGCAGCGAAAGCTCCTCCTACTACTGGGTATTAGCAGCAACGCCAGCAACAGCACCAACTCCAATCGAAGCCCCATCACCATTATCAGTCTTCATGCTCCCCGCATATCCACCCCCACTCATATCCGCTCTCATCTCCCTCAACGCAGCAACACGTCTCGCACACACGTCCTTCCGCTTAATAACATTACTCAACGCCTCGCTGGCCTGAATCAGCCCATCAATGCTGATGGCGTGGTTGGTCATTTGGTGGTTGATGTACGTATACACCGCCGCTGGCGTCGAGCATGTCGTCAGAAGTTGCTGCTCGTTAAGCTTAAGGAGTGCTACGGCGACTTGGAAGAAGAACGTGCTGCCTCCCCCACCGCCATCGTTGGTGTTTAATAGGTCGCCGTTTGGCAACGAGGTGGATCCGATTAGGTTGTTGGCTGGGTTGGAAAGCAAACTCGATACCGACACTGTACTTCCCGGCTTATTCTCTGGGTACGTCTGATTCTGCACCTGGGATGTAGTCGACAGCACGTTCGTTGGGGCTGGCGGCGTAGCAGGCGTGTTGAGACAGAAAACAACGTCCCAGACTCGATACAGCGCCTCAGCTGATAAACAGTCTGTAAAAACAGACAAAAACCACTGGAAAGTCAACGCTTCAAGTTCGATCCCCAGCTCGTCGAGATGCGCTGAGAGTTTGGGCAGGATCTCAGATACATATTGGCGAAGAATTTGCTGATCCGCACGCGATGCCAGGAGGCCATGGTCATAGTAGTGCGGGGGCAGAATATTCTCAATCAGCGATGCAAGGATCCAAAAGGCATCTTCGGCCGTAGGCATGATCAGAAGCAACGATCCAGCAATCAAATTCATGCCTTGACAATAACCCACATCGGGATTGCGGCGAGCGTAAGCCAAGAGAACATCATTCAGCTTCTGGACGCCAGGTCCTTTACGGAAGAAAATGTTATCCGTCAGCGTTCGATGGATGTCCATCTGGATCTGCGCAACCACAGATGGATCAGTCTCCTGTTTCATGGTACCCTTTACAAGATCGTCATAATATCCCGGAACTCGCATTGCAGAAGCCCCACTGCACTCAGACCAGATCTTCGCACGATACGTGACGGGAATGCCTCCGAGAACGAGACTTTTGAATTCACGCCATTTAGCTCGCCCAACTTTACCCTTGTTCCCAAGTCCAGATATGCCAACAACTTCTCCATCTGCTAGTGACACTTCAGGCATGGCAAGAGATACACTTGGCCGGTCCGACGCTTCTCCCTCCTTTCTGCGTTCCGCGCGGACTTTCCGCATAAATTCATTCCACTTAACCGTACGGTCTCTTTGCAGAGAATCATGCAGCTCAGTGAGCCGTTCCAACAGAAGTCTCACAGGTTCCTGCTCAGAGGCTGGAACTGGTACAACAGATGCATCGTTTCCTGAACATGCGAACTCTGCGTCGTTGGAAACAATTTGAGACATAAGCACAGCAGCTTGGGGAGTAGAATTGACAACGGATATGGATCCGCCTTTCTTAATTGTAACAGATGATGAGCGCTGTTTCCTTTCGGGAGCACTAGCTACAGCGACAATAGGACCTGCGGCTGGAGTATGGGAGAGCAGCTCAGTCGGTTTGGTAGCTACTTTCAAATAATCTTGCCATCGTCTAACAGGAACAGTTCCACTTTCAGAGTCTTCAACGAGTGTTGGAGAAGACGGAGACTCCGTGCCATTTAGTTCCAGCCTTATGGTCAGATCTGGATCACTCCGGATTCTCTCAAGTGTCCCTGCGATGCCTGCCCGCTTCGAATTGCGGTTAGACCCATCAGCTTCTTTCTGCCGCTTCTTCCTCCTTTGGTCATAAATAAAACCAAACCGGTCTGTCAGAAGGTCCCCTGGTTGATAATTTCTATAGAGGTGTGATAGTGTTGGTGGTCGGGATTCCAAAGGCAATATAGCATCCATCTCCACAGGACCTAAATTTGTTGGATTCTCGTCTGCAATCCTAGATTCAGGTGTAGCGGTCTGTCTCGGGCCGGAAAGGCCATCACGACGAAGACCAGAGAGGCTGGTTCTAGAACCTCGTGCACTGGAGGTAGTGGGTGATTTTAGAGACCTCGGAGGCCTAGAGACGGTGCCATTTAGACGTTTCAAAGCCGCAATGGCAGACCCGCTAACATTTGATGATTCCGTAGCAGAAGACTGTCTTGCCCTAGAGCTTGGTGTATTGGGCCGGGTGTGGCTTTTGATGCTTCTGGAATCAGAGACTTCTTTACCAGCTTGAGGATTGCCTGCAAACAGCTTCACAGTCCACGATGCTAACGACCTCGATGATTGATGAGAATTAGCACTTGAATCATCCCCATTTCTTAACTTCATCAAGGTTTTGTTTTCCGGGGTAAAAACAACTGGATTCACACCATGATGCTGAAATAATTGTTCATCCAAACCCTTCCGGCGGTTGACAGATGAACTAGGCATGTGCAATAAATCATCACTGTCATCATGCGCACACCCGTCACTCATGATGCTACTTGCTTTGCTCGTCTTTTGACTAACAGTGGCACTTCCCCAAATGTAACTCTGCCAGCCACGAAACAACGTGGGTGAAGTTTTTTTAGTCGATCCCACACTGGGGCTTCTGGACTGAAAGACATCATTGCGACCGGGACCAATGGTGTCACGAAAATCCGCATCCCCTTTGCCATATTCTTCGGGCGACGATCTCAGCACCTGAACTCCTACATCGTCACTCATGGCCTGGTTCACCATATCGTCTATCGTAGGCGACACCTTTCTTGCACCACTTGATGGACCGAGACTTTCTGTACTGTCGTCGATCGATTTCTCCACCGGGTTCTCGAGAATGTAGAGTCTATTTTCGATCGTCTGGTTGGATACCTGTGCCTCACGTAGCATTTTCTTCAATTCTTTCTCCCTCTCATCCGCACGCAGCCGGATCGAGGAGATCTCAGCATCTCGTAGTGCAAGGTCCCGAGCGAACTGCCGCACCAGTTTCACTGCGCCAGTCCTTGCAACGATGCGCTCGATGTGGTCATCATTGGCAAGGTGGAGCGAGCCCGGAACATTCCTCGACGACACTGAGTCATTAAAGAGCGCATTGCGACCAGATATTTGCGGCAACGAGGTCATCAAACCTTCCAGTGTAGCTTTGCGACCACGATCAGCGCTCCGGCGGGAATTATTCTCCGTCAACAAGGCCTGACTGAGCGCGTGATTCAATGCTGGTTCACCTCGAAAACCCTCTGGAGAAGTATCGGGGGAGAGGGAAGGAAACGAGGTGAGGTCTGTCTGTGGGTTGGTAGGAGAGGAGGCAGATAGTCGTTTGAAGGCTTTCGAACGGACCGGCTTGCCTCTGTGGCTTTTTCTAGAGGAAGTAGACGTTTGGGAAGAGGAGCGTTGGACACTGGTGGGTGGATCGAGGACCTCAGCCATGGCTATGAAGCTATCGAAGCAACAGGCAGCTCGGGACAGGTGCGTGTCTTCATGAAGACAGAGATTGTCGTGGTATATTGGTTGCGGGAATATGGATGGACCGAGAGAGGTTTTGAGAGGGAATAATAGAAGCCGTTGTGGAGGAGCTTTGACAAAGTATGCTTCAGGCTATATATTTGAACATTCCTCCTTCCGAATCTTCAACTGTATCATGTGATATGATTTAACGGAGAAACTTCCTGTTGACTCGGAAAGCCAAGGACAACACGCGACTGCCAACAAGCTACCTGTGGTCTACCAACTCCCGCAAGTGAAATTTAGCCCGAAGTCAAAATGAATGGTGCTGGGAGGGAGAAAAAACACGGAAAAGAAGTGAAAGGTGGTATTGCAAAGCGAGGAAAACAGATGTCTTGTAAAATAGAAGAGAAGCACGGAGATGCCAGCAGCAGAAGCTGGAAAATGATATCTCCACAGCAAGGCGAGGTGAATCAAGGATCACAAAGCTCCCCCGGCGCAAGGGTGGTAAATATGGGCGAATCTGGTGATGTTGATGTTGATGATGATGATGATGATGATGATGGAAGAAACTCGCGAACCCGGCGATGATGCGGGCAAAATGCAAGTTGACGCCGCCAGGCCCAATCAGGATTAGTCAGGCTTATAACTCCGTATGATCTATTATCCGCCACCAAATACGGACTGTTTGCTCTGTTTGCACTGTTTGCTCTCTCTCCCAGATGGATCCAAACCTTTGCTGGCAGCATCATGTGACATTGTTATGTAGCCGGAGCCTTCCAATGGAAGGTTCCCATTATTCACTAATTCGTTAATGTTTGTGACTAACCAGTTAGTTATTAAGCCCAGGTGACAAAGACTCACCAGTTGGCAGTTGACAGTTGGCAGTTGGGCAGTGGGCAGTTGGGCAGTGGACCATTCATTGATTGATGATCATTAGCTGCTTCCACTGAGTTTGAGTCCAGTCAAGGGCAAAACGATAATTATAACTGTGACTGTTGACCACACTTCGTCCGCAGCGTATTCGTGAAACCATCAAACATCCATGGATCATCCCAGTCGCGAAACTCTAGTGGCTCTCGTCTCGATTTCGGAATCTGGTCTGCAGCGGGGCCTGAATATCACATCCATGAGTACTGTTATGTATTCTTATTACTTCCTCCAGATCTCACGAGACAATCCTAGATTGGGCAATATGAAACAGCTCCCTACCAGAGCTAGGCCAATCATGCATATCGGATCCAAATCTTCGGGTCCATTCATCTTACAGCCGCCCTCCGCGCAAGCCCTGTCATCATTTCTAGGCCACAGATGATAGAGCTGCCAACTCTTTTCCCCCGAAAGCAAATGGAAGGATGGATCCCCTTTGCGGAGAACTCCTAGCTGCAGCCTGCCGTAGAGAAAGGGCAGGAGACATGAAGAAGAGGTAACCTGTCCATATTTACCGTGCACGGACGGAAATGCTGTCCTAGCTTGGATTTATGAACAAAAGGAGGAGATGAAAAGTCTTGTTTGCCATCGGTCACGAGCGAGTGCCAAACGAGACATTTGCAATCTTAAAACAGGCAACAATGGTAAATTACACAGGGAAACAGGCCAGACCAAACAATCCTGTTATGGTTGCGGGATTCGCTTGTTGAAGATATATTATGTAACCCGCAATTTCCGGAGGTTGCCAGCAGATGAGGAGCACCATTGTTAGGGTTGGTTTGTTATCCACAAGGAGCCGTGGAAACTATCCTGGCAAACTGTGTCATTGGTGGATTAAATATCATTCCATTCACTCAGTATTAACTTGGAGATCTGCTGTGTCTTTAACAATTAACAAGGATAACGTTGTTGAGGAGGAATTGCAGGAAAACAACCAAACTTCCGATTGCCATCATCAACATGCATCCATTATTCCTAGGTTCCAATGGACACAGAGTGTTCCAAATGGACCAAGCCTTGCAGTGTTCATTGATAGGGTCTCCGGCGGCTAACCTCCAGAACCCGTGACTTTATACCTCGGGATCTTTGTGACTGAACGCCCGAAAAGCCGCCTTTTGCGGAGAAAGAATAGCGAAGAAACAACTTCAACAAGACGGATGGCTGTGTTATAGGGTGTGTATAAAAGCAAGTTGTCCGTACTCAGTCCTCCGTAATTCACTTGTTAACTACTTCTAATATTTCCAGAGTATCAGGCCTCAATGACAACCTAGGATACCTCGTTAACTACAATCAATCCTTGCTCTCACTAGTTATAGTTTAGTGTCCGCCCCCATACTCCCCAGGATGACCTCCATAACGAAACAGCGGCTTCAGGCTGTCAGCAAACAACTGATTGAAGGTATACCAGATGCCGGCACCTTCGAGAACATCCCTCGAATTCGCGAGGTAGCCCCCGATTCTGTAGGCCAGTAAGTTTTTACAGCTTATGAATGTCCAGATTCACAGCTTCATAGCCGAATCCAATTGTTTCTCCTACCTAGGAGAGAGACTCCGCTTATATGTAGGTAAAATATAGGAGAGTCAAGGGAAAAGTTGTTATTGTAACTGGTATGTGTTTATCATCTATTAAAACAAATCGAACTAAAAAAGACAAGAAAAAATAAGTAACATTCATTCTCCCTCCCAATCCACAGGAACAAATTCCCCCATCGGCATTGGCCGAGCCAGCGCGCATCAATTCGCCCGTAATGGCGCAAAGGCAGTGTTCATTTGTGACGTTTCAGATTCGTATCTGGCCGTTCACAAACGAGAGCTTGAATCGCTCTACCCAGACGTCGACATCCTTGCCCGGCAGTTCGATGCCGGCAACGAATCGCAAATCAAAGCCGTAGTCGATGAGGCTATAGAGAAATACGACCAGTTGGACATCATGTTCGCCAACGCTGGCATCGCCGGGGAGCAAAAATTATTTACAGAAACCACCGGAGAGGAATTCATGCAAACTATGGAGACCAATGCGAAAGGGTGAGTATACCAGACGAAATCAAGAGAAAACGCACACTACCCTACCCCTTGCTTGTCCTTCATATTTCATTATTTATATTATATTTTATTATTTTTCCCCAGGAAACAATTACTGTCTATCTTTCTATCTATATATCTATATACCCAAACTAATCACAACAAACCCCTTCAAAGTCCTTTCCTCGCCGCCAAATACGCTGCAATCGCCATGCAAAAAACCTCACCATCCAAACCCTATTCATCAGGTAGTATAATCATGACCGCCTCCGTTGCCGGTCTGCGCGCCAACGCCGGCTCAACAAACTACTCCGCCAGCAAAGCTGCTGTCGTCTCCATAGCGCAGACCTGCGCCTTCCAGCTCGACGGCACAGGCATTCGCATTAACGCCATCTGCCCAGGCATGGTCGAGACCAATATGACGAAGCACGTATATGACAAGGCTAGGGCTAATGGTACGGAGAAGAAAATTGGTCAGCTTAATCCGTTGGGGAGGGGCGCGGTGGCGGATGAGGTGGCGCGCGTTGCGCTGTTTTTGGGAAGTGAGGAGAGTAGTTATGTTAATGGACAGGCTTGGGCAGTTTGTGGGGGGCTGAGTGCTGGGCATCCGGTTGTGCCTGGGATACAAGGTTGAGTTGAATGAGAACTGGTGTTTGACCGACTGTTGAGATGAATCTATTTTTGGGTGTGGTTAGTTCAGTTTCAGGGGGACATTGTGTGTTATTTTCCTTTTTGTTGTATATATATATATATACCTGACTCCTTCAGTGACACCCTGAAGGCTGAACATCTCTATCTGATGGGCCCTTGGCCACCGGATGCCTTGCTGTCACAGACAGAGCCCATGAAATAATCTGGAACGAAAACGTCACGTTGGTAACATTCAAAAACAGATAATATAGAATAATGAACTGGTATATTATAAAAGTGTAATTCAAATATACACACAAATATTTGATCCACAAAAATACAACAGCTCAACTAGCCCCCTTTCACCTCCAATTCCCGAAACAAAACCTCCAGCACTTTCTCCCTATCAACGCCCAGAAGAACGCTATCTACATTTCCCTCCTTCCCTCCTTATTCCCTTCCCCTCCCCTCACCAAGCTCCTCCTCCCCACCATCATCATTTTCCCTCAGATATACCTCTTCTAGCATAAACCCATCTTCGGGTAGTTCCTTAGGAGCCCACGGAAGAACATAGAAAGTGGGAAACTCAAGCACTACCCGACTTCGTAGAACGTCTGATATCGTGACTGATTCCGTAGCGAGCGGGATAAGGACAGGCACGCGAGAGCGGGATTGTGGGCGGTGGAGGTAGAAGTAATGGTTCTGTTTTTGTTGTGGTAAGGCTGGCGGGTGATTTGAGACGAGATTTGAATCGTGGTCATTAGCAGTATTGTCCATATTGGTAATATCGGTCCGGTCTGATGGGGATATGGCGCGGTTTGTTTCTAGATTTGCAGATTCCTTTGGATCCGTATTCGGATCTGGTGTTGGGTCTTGTGGTATCGGGGCTAATATATGGAGGTGCGGTGTTTGACTGTCTGATGGTTCGTCCGGGGATTTAGGTATAGAGGATCTTGTGACGTTTGTCGTAGAGAGTGGAAGAGATGGTCCGTTATATGAGTCTAATTTTCGTTTCTTTGCTGGTGAAGCTGTAATCATTTCCTCCCCATGCTGTTTCGACAGAGACGTCCGCGAGAAGGCTACTGCGACGGCTGTGGACTCGAGACATTTATTCAATGCTTTTTGACTCTGGTGGCCATCCACCAGTATCCATTCGATGGTCCAGCTAAGGCATTTGTGTCTAGAAAATGTAAAGAATACATGTCAGTCCTCGACTTTCCATCAGTGCATCCCAGAAGGTCTAAAAATGAACAGCAAGCATACTTTTTATGCCAATAAGACATATTCTGTTTCCCCCTTGACATTCCCTTCGGAGCCCTAACCACCTTTACCCCAGCGTTCTCAACTCCCCTCAATAAGGCCACCTCCCCCTTTTTTACGGGCTCTGTCCGCTTTTTGCAACGCTGGTTATTGTCACCATCCTCCCTCACCAGTTCAATCCCTCTATTCTCCGCATCCCTCTCCGCCCTCTCGACATACCTCTCAATGCCACTGATGAAGTTAAAATCCTTATCAAAGGCCGCCGGCGTTGCTAATTCTCTACGTTTTAGGTATGCGGCCGGGTCTCGCACGCCGGAACATTGGGACCAGAGTTTATGCCGCTTACTGCAGGGTAGGGAGCAGGTTGGGGTTGCGCAACGAGGACATTTATATTTGGGTGGATTGGTTCGACTGTGAGAGATTGCGTTAGAAGTTTCTGAATAATTGATAAAAAAATAAATAAATAAATAAATAAAATATAAAAAATAAAAAATAAAAATAAAAAAAATAAAAAAAAATATTCATCTGCAACGCTGGGTGGGTTTTTACCAAATGGTGCACAGCTCGCTGAGAGACAATTCTTTTACCTCCGACATACCTGAAGAACGGATATTGTCTTCTCGGAGGACGGGGAAGGGGGGTCTAACCCAATCGTAGTCGCGTAGCCCTCAAACCACTCTCTGTATTAGATTGATGAGGAGTTAGTTTCTCACCACGCCTGTTGATGAGCTGAAGTTATACAGATTAAACATGCGTTCGGAATAAATATTTCTCCAGCTTATCGATAAGAGTCTCTAAGGACATTTAAATGCTTGGCAGCAACCATATCGGGGCTAGTGTATTTCGGGACCAGGAGTTTCTTTTTCCCCGTCGGCAGCTTTAGACAGAGCTCCTTCGGCTTCAAGGTTAATACGACTATACTTGCGCCACGACAAATCCCAGGGTTATATGGATGAAAGATGCCGATGACAATTTCTGAGTGAGCATCAAATGGCAAATCTCGCAAAGGCGGGGGTTGGGGCCATCTATCTGTCTCGATCACGTTTTGGCCGATTTGTAGCTCGTATTTGCTCTTCGTCCGTTAAAACTTTCTTTTTGAGGGCAGTCTGTTGGATGTTTCAGAACGAAATCATGAATGCTGTCATAATGAAGATAATTCTGAGACTTTTATTCAAATTGGGATTCTTAACAAAGGATACTATTCGCCGTTCCAAAAATATTGCATACCATGCCCACTTTGGGGAACATCTTGAAGTACGGAATACTTTTTGTGTGAATATGAGGACTAGACCTCGATTACGGTTACCTCTCCTCACTTGATCCCTGAATCTAGATCTATTGAAGGAGCGCCTAAAATCCAACCATTGAAAGCTTGGAGGATTATTTCGATCGTTGGAAGGAGAATCTTCCTTGAAAGTCGCCACGCGTAGCAGTGGATGCATCTATCCGTGCCATCCTCGGCAATAATATGTCCTAATATGTGTCATTGCCTACAGAAATATTTCCGAGAAGTAGCTGCGCACCAACCTCTCAAATAAGATTGACTAGCAAGTTATATTGATATGTGCCATGTACGTAATAATTATGGTGTCAAAGAAGATATGCATGATACTACTCCAGGTATCTACATGGTGCATGAACCCGATATGCTGTGCTCCCTTTCTCTTTTTCCCTTGGAACAACCCTCGTGCGGCACAAACGCTAGTTGGTAAAGCTTGAATGGCCCACGGGATGATAAGGGTTTAGATAATCACTAGTTCCGGAGTGGAATCGTGCTTTTGGTGGATAGATAGGATCTACCTATGGATAACCTGTAGTAGCTGGGAAGGTTTGGCTTGTTTTGAGAGAAGCCAGCTCGGCCAGGAACCCATCCGATGTTCATGCATTATTGGAATGAATATGCGAACAGCCGGAAAAGCTGATAGATAGACTGCGGCTCGCCCGCATACGTATTGTAAATTAGCATTTCGAACCGTTCGCCCCTCAGGCGCTGATGCTGACAGATCACTTTTCTAGGAAATGGCGACATCGCTACCGACATGAGCAACGGCATCAAACTTCGATATTGAGTGTCAGATACGAGAAAACAAAGTCATGCAATTTCGAATCAAAATATAAAGAGTACGTCAGATGCATGAAAGGAATGATCCGTCGGAAGCACTGAATCTTACGTATTCCCAGAGGCTAATGGAGCAGATGTTCTTTTCATGCCAACGACCTCCACTAAATAGGCGGGGCTCTTCCTGCGAGCAAGGATGACGAGATGCCACAGGCAGGAAAAGAGATGTAAGAAAATGAGGAATGGATCGAAGTTCTCGATGATTAACAACATAACGACACCTCATAATAATCCATAGCACTTTGCTGACGGGCATTCCTCCGATACGTTGCTGATATCCATGCAACCTGGTAAGGCACATCAGACGTCAGACCTCATGGTTTCGAGTCATGCACATCGTATATATGCCTCCAGTGATCGTTCATACATGGTGGCAGAAGCGTGCAGGGAACAGGGAAAAGAAATTAAACAATCATCAAATCTTGAAGCAATTCAGGCGAAGGAAGTAAAGGTGGGGAGGGAAAGGCAGTTCGGAAAGTTGGTCCTTGCAAGAGGAGCAGAAGGAAATCTATCCTCACGATGATCAGCGGTAAGAACTTGAAAACGGAAACCTGATCCTCTCAAGGTGCATCAAGAGAGGAGTTTCGAACGAAACAACCCTGGACGTGTGTAGGTTAAGGAGCGGTAGACTTCTTCTCTTCGGTTTGTTCCGGGGAGGCTTGGGATTTCGTGATATTCATGTCTTTGCTCTGAGGATATGTATGATCAATGCGTGACCCACGAGACCTCGATCATAACCACAGCTAAAGTAAACCATTCTCCAAATCACGATAAGTCATAATAATGGATACAAAGAAACGAACGGATTAGGTCAAATAATGAGAAAGAATATCGATCTTCCAGAGCAACAACCAATCGGAGTGCTTGAGACGCTGCACCATTTTCACCTGTAGACAAAGGTTGTGTGTTTTGGCCCCTATCGGCTTGGCTGGAGAGGGGATTTTGGAGAATTTATTGGCCAGTGAATACGATAAGAAAAGGATTCCTGCTTTGATTGATTTGCAGCAAATGATATCCTATGGAGAGCCATATGATCATCATGATGTGATAGGACAGTGAGAGAGAAGAAATGTGTCAGGAAAAATGAACCATGTAGAGAGAAGTATTGAAATATTGGATGAGATTCGAATTTACTATTGGTGTGTGATTGGCTTCGAGATTTCTTTTCATTCCCTTATTTTTTAGTCGGCGGGACATTCTCTGCGTTGGTTTAAAAATTTCGTGAAATTAGGCAAAGGCCAAGGGGTAGGAGCCTTTCTTCTCCACTGTCAGGCTTGAACGATCTTGGTGGTCTATGTATCATTAGTGGTGATAGATAGCTGTTGAGGAAATAGGATGAAATCAAGGTTCGGTACGGGTTCCCCGTGCAAACTTACCAGTGTTTCTAATTCACCCACAATAGCGGTTTATAGTTAAACTTGACTGGAAGTTTCTGGCATCGTGATCAATGCACTATACCGAGCCAGTGACAGGGGAACGGGGACGGGACGGAGGAGATTAAGGGTGAATTGAGGTGTATTTTCAAAGGGTGACCTGATTGGAGAAAGACAAATTCATGATTTGAAGAACTAATATATGAAGAGATGTGATTATCATCTATCCGCGGCGTGGACACCAACAACGATATCATCAGGGTCGAATAGAGGGGTTTACGGATGGTATCCTCAAGGTGGTCTTTCCGGACACGCTAGATTGGGATGGCGTCAAGGCCCTAACTAATCCACACTGGTTGAGAAATGTCTTTCCTGGGAGCCAGCATAGCCGTTCCGTATCCGTATTTTATATTTTATTTTATTTTATTTTTATTTTTGGGGGAAGATGAAGGGAGAAGGATTTTGATAATCCATTTTGTTTCCACTGGAAAGGGATGAATGGAAAAGAGAGAAGAAAAAGGGAAAAGAAGAGGTATCAATGAGAAACCCCCAGATATGTTCATACAAAAATATCAACCATCCATAGCTGTTTTAATGTCCCACCTGACACTTGAGAAGAAGAACCCAGGCCAACCTTTGCGCAAACATAATAAAAGGTCTCGAACGACGCGCATCTGGGCGTTGGGCCTCAGCATGGGCCCCGACAGGCATAGGTTTGGTATATTTTCCAACGGCCAAAAGGGCTGCAATCCACATCCGGCCTATATATAATATCACATCTTCTTTGAACGGCGCCGAACCAAGGAAACATATCTGTAACAATGGCTTTCTTCCTAGCTGCGGTAGTGCGGCGAAAATCACCACCCACATTTGAGTTGTGAGTTCGGAGAGAACAATATCCACTCCTCCCATAAATCAGCTGGCTGCAGTTGGTAGTGGCAGAACAGGCACCTTGTCACTTTTGGTTTCAGAGCTCTCAATTCCACCAGTCAGAGTCTTTGGTTGAGCCAGGAAGCTGGCACGGCTTCCCCTTCGCATGGCACCGGCCTGCTAGCGTGTGCTAGGGACAGGCAAAGACAGACTTCAACCGAGGAGGCGTCCCTGACTAGAATGATTAAATGAAGCTGGACGGTGCATTTGAGCGTGTGGGCAACTGCCTGCACCAATGAGGCCCTTTTTTTAATTTTTATTTCTTTAATTTTTATTTATTTTGACGCTTGTTTTTTCTGTTCTTCTTTCTCTTTTTCAAATTTGAAGACAGGAATTGGATGCAGTGGTAGAATGATCGATTTGGAAGTTGGGTGAATGCGCTCAGAGAGTTTGGCTGTCGCCGTAGCGGAAGTGATCGCAGCACCTGAAGGCCAAGGGTGCGATGTTCTGACGGGTACGACTCCCAAGATCAAATTCGGGGCCCATTTAGGGCATTCCAGGGGTGAGTCCAGGGGTGAGTCCGCCTTTCTCTGCTTGGTCTGCCCCCCATGCCCGACCCCGCCCTGGCTCACCCCAAGCCTATTCCCAGCCAGCCCACGTCCTTTTTCGTTCCGCCCACCGCCTAGGCTGCCCGCTAGCCCTGTCCGTGCAAGTCAGGCAACCTGTCGAACTTTTGGCTTTGCTTCCGCCGCCTCCTGTTCCCCCTTGTCAGGCTGTCAATTCTCTCCCTTTCTCTCCCCCCCAGTTCCCCCGTTGGTCTTTCATCTCTCACAATTGATTCTCCTTTTCCATTCTCCTCACCTCTCCTCTTTTTCTACCTTCTCTCTCCGCTTCGGATGCGCCCTCTTGCTGTATCCTGTCGCAGCCTGGAGCTCCCCTACGCCCTCCACTTTTGATTTGCCATTCATTGTTGTCTACAACAGCGCAGTGACCCTGCTCTTGTATCACTCCTTTTTGCAGGAGTGTGGAACCCTGTTGTCTCGCCAATTGATTGATATCTCTGGTGATTTCATACCTCAGCTCGCGATACGAAAGCTGTTCTCCTCGTCCTTCTGCCTTTTCACTTGGCATCACCCAGCAACGTTCAATAGCATTTCCATCAGGCCTATATCGATCCGTTCGGTGTCACATTTCAAGATATTTTGTCTTTTTGTAGACCGATAGAAGAAGAATCTTGGATTTCTGTCTCACCCATTGATCCCCGTTCTATGCCCAAGCCAGAGTTGCTTCCCCTTGTAATTATTATTATTATTATTATTTTCTTTTTTGATTTCCAAAACTACTGGTACTATTGCTACTTGCCGTAGCTGAGAGCAACACACCAACCCACCCATCACCCTTTCAACAAAACAAAGAAACGAACAAACACCACACCCCACCAAATCGACATCGTTTATCAACATAGATCGATCGATCTACCGATTGATTGATTAATTGATTATCCTCTGAGAAGGATAGACAAAACGTCCATTCATCCATCATGGCCCCATCGTTGAGAGACCATGCGTCTTTCGTCCGCCCTTCGACCAGGGATCGCCCCATGACCAGAGACCAAGGAGATACTTCTCTCGTCATCCCAAGTCGAACTTCCTCGCTTCATTCGCGGATCACTCAACCCATTCCTTCGACTTTGAATATGAAACCAGCTCAGCGAACTCCAAAAACCCTCACCCACGCCTACATGGTATGTGGCGTTGGCCGCGAACCTTCGCAATGGGTCAAGGCTCCCCCTCCCGGCCAGGGGAAGATCGGACACATGAAGTGCGCTGTTGGTCAATTCTGGTTACCAGAGATCTTGGGCAGTAGTCCCAGACTAGAACAGGATAATGAGATTGCTAGAGCTCTACATTCTGCCATGAGAGTGAGTACCATTGGCAACTCATCAAATCAAGTTTTGAACTGGAACTTGGATTAATCACCTATTTTAGGCTTGTTTCCCTCATGACGTTGAAATCTGCACGGGCAAGAACCAACCTCATTGTGTACACCATTCGTTTGTTCTCCAGCAGGATTCTTCTCACACCCTCTACGGTATTGCGCTGCGTGTGTGGTCTCGAGCAGATGAGAAACGTGCGGAAACCATTCGCGAGCTGCGTAGGAAAACGGAGTCCGACTTTTACGATACCCCAGATGAAACGTACTGGATACCTTACTGTCTAAGTTTCTTGTCCAGGTACCCCCTTTACAACCTTCTTGGAGATTACCTGCGTGGCATGTGGATCCATTGGAACAAGGCCACCAATCTTTTCCATGCCGAAGAAGTATCCCGCATTCTCAGCTTCCCAGCTCCACGACTCAACGACTTGGTTCGGATTGACATGAAGGACTATGCTTTATGTTATCAATTCCCTTCCTCCCCAACTGGGTTCCAGAATTTCGCCATGTGGCCATTGTTCAACTGCTTGTCCATCCCCAATATTGTGGGCGTTATTGAAGCCGCCGTTTCTCCCACCCGTCGCATCATATTCGTCAGTCACTACCCAGCCATGCTAACTGCCGCCGCGGAAACTATTCGATTCTGTGTCCGTGTGTACGAATGGAGTGGTCTCTACTGTCCTGTTGTCCATGCCCGCCACGCAAAGGAGCTTGTTCAAGAACCCGGTCCATACATCCTTGGTGTAACTGCAGAGTGCAAGACTCTCTTTACTGCACCATCTGATGCCCTAGTGGTTGACTTAGATCGCAACTTTGTGTTAACTTCCAGCCCGCCAAACATTTTGACACCTGGTCAGAGAACTAAAATGATCAATCGCTTGACTCAGTCTCTAAATGGAGATGTTTCCCAGTCCGGTGTTCCTCAACACCTCCGATCAGCCTATGGAGGGGGGAAATTAATCCCTGCTGGCCAGATTATTGTGATGCGTGGTGAAGTTGAAAGTGTCCAGGATCCGGATTGGTGGAATCAGGATGGCGTTATGGCTGTCATGGATCATGTCTGCGAAAAATTGGTTGGTTTCTCCTTGATTAAGTGCATTGTTCCATTGTGCGCCCCCAACATACTAATTTACTGGATAGGGCCGAAACACTGGAATGAAGGCTCTTTTCGGAGGCGCCGTAAAGAAACCACTGATGACTAAAGTGTCTATGAGACACCTGAACGAAATCGTTCGTGAGCGTAACCAGTACTCCCGGGATGCCATGGAAGCATGGCAAGATTTCATTAACCTCAAAGGCAGAATGGATACCGAGCTCTCCAAGGTTACAAAGCGAAACAACTTTTTGGTCGAGGAGCTGGAAACATGGAAGCAGCAGGTTTGTCCCAGCTTTAAACCTCCCATTGTCGCTATCGCATTACTGATTAACCACCGCTACAGTTCCTCAAATTCCAAGCATTTGCTGAGCAGCTTACAAAGGAAACTTCGGAGCTTAAGGTCAAGATCGAATCTCATAAACGTGAGAACCGCCGCCTCACTGGCCTTATCGATCAGCAGAAGGATGACGCTGCCCGTCTTACCCTTCGTCTTTCTGGAACTGAGAAGCAGAGAGATGATGCTCTTGAAGCTTTGGTCCTCCAGCAAGAGATTGCTGAGGAGCTAGAACGTGAGAGGAAACGCAACACTAAAGAAATCAGTGCTCTGCAACACACGAGCGATACCATGCTGCGTCAACGAGATGAAGCACAGCGTGTGGTCCTCCATCTTAGAAGTCTAATCAATGGCCAGGCCCATCACATGGAACACATCGTCCGTTCTCTCTCAGATACCCCAGAACTCTCTGGGTTCATCCAGGAGGGTTATGACGACATACGAGAAGATAATGAGGCCGAGGACCACGACATCGCAGAAGCCAGTCCAGTTCGACCAGGTTCTCAAATGAGGTCTACATCCAGACTCCCCAGCCGCGCCAGCACCATTGATGGCGAAGACGTCACTCCAGAAATGGAGCAACACCTGCTGAACCCCAAACATAGCAAACGCTACTCAACCCTGAGCATGTCCGACGTCGCTGACAGACACCTGCGAGACAAAACCGACGCCATCGCCGATATTATCCGGAACATTTCTGATCAATGTGCCGCAGCCGTTGAAGGCCTCCATCTTGCCCAGGACGCCGAGTTCGACAATTCCCTCCGGCTCCAGAGCGGCAAGGATAACCGGAACGGCAACCTCACCCCCACCGACGAACATGACCGCGAACATTCCGTCCGCACTGAGGGTAGCGAAGCGGGAGATAACGACGGTAGCTTCCTCAGTCCCGATGGACGCATGTCCAGCATTCCTCCCACACCGGATCTTGTGCATAATCGCTCCAGCACGTCGATGTCAATGATTAGCAGTACGACGATTCCAGAGCGGTCGAGCCAGCAGTATGGCCCTGGCGAGCTACCGACGAAGATTGTCGAGGATGATGATGAGCGGACGTATGAGATGGAGGCGCAGATTGAGAGTAATGGAGGCGTTGTTTCCAAGCAGGCTGAGCAAGGGATTTTGAGAGGAGAAGCAGGAAGGATTGTTGAATGAGAGTTACACATGAAAATCTAAGTCTGAGGTATTTCAAATGCCTTCTTGCAACAGCAACAGCAACATCGACAATTCTGGCACCCGGTTTCCTGTGTGATATTGCCCAACATGATTTGATTTTCCCATTCTAAGCCTTTATTTGCAGGATGAGGAATCGATGATTTTTCTTATGTGTATTTCTCTTGGTGGTAGATTTTCTTTCTTTTATTCTTCATTTATTTTATCCATTATTCCCCCTGTCAGCTTTGTTGTTTTGTTACACCTCCTTTTACCCTGCAACGCGTGTGTGCTGCAGATACCCGCTCCGACTTCGGCAGCATCTTTTTATGCGTTTTTGTCAGATCTTTAATTCCCATCTAATTCATATCTTGTCTATCAGCAAAGCAAAATACATTGGTATATATGCGACATGATTGCACATGTACAGTCACATTGCCACCTTTTCAGCTATTCACATATCATCTCCACCAATTCCTCACCACATATGCACTTTACCTCAATCTCAAGATATGCCAAGAAAGGAGAAAATGCTGCAGGGAGATGTGATTCCTTTGCATTTACGGCTGGAGTCAGAACATGTCTTAGTAACCTAGACTGCTCTGATAACCTCTCAATGAAAGCTTTTTTCCTCATTTTGAATTCCCCTCCGTTTATATTCTTGATATTTTTATTGCATTTAACCTGCATTTTCTTGTCACTTGGTCATTTCGTTCTCGCCCACCTCTACTATGTGTACATGTCTCTTTTCTATTCTTTTCTTTTGAGCTCCTTTCTCCAAGCAGTCCGCGTTGCGTGTTCAGGATTTCTCTCCTTTTTATTTTCTCTTTGTATACCTTTGGTCTTCCCCCTACACTACAAACCCTCCACTAGTTTTATTATTTCATTTCCTCTATCTCACTTTCTTACTCTCTTTTTTGGAGGCTATTTCCTGTTTGCTTTTTCTTTTTCTTTTTCTTTTTTTTTTTTTTTTTCCCGGAGTACCACGGTTATTTAATACAAGTTTTTTTTTTTCTTTAAAAAATGCTTTTCTAAGTAACTATCTTAACTTCTTTCTCCTATACTACCCGTTGAACAAAAGTACCGTGGTAAGTGTTCCGTAGAAATGCTCATCCTTTGACCTTTATCTTTACCAATCAGTTTTCATGATACGTCAAAACGACCGGGCGATAGCCATAGCCATAACAAACGAGTGACTGTCAGGTCACTATGAACTGCATGATTAACCCTTTTCAAAAAACCTTCGGATTGCAGGCTTAGAGCAGAGAATATGCTCTCTTCCCCATCTCCGCCTATATCTAACTATTCTTCATCCTTACATATAAACTTTCTCCATTCCATCTACATTCCCAGTTTCTAGAGAAGTCGTATGTGGTAGATACCTCTGAAACAGTGGAATTGGCGCCCAATTCACAAGGAAGTCTAAGGCAATGATAGAGAACTAAAAGCATTCTCATTGGTTCTGTTGATCCAAAGTCTTGCAAAGAAAACTGTGAAATCCGGGGGCTAATTGGATCAAAGTGCTTAGCTATGCGTTAACGCTTTGTATTCCCACACTGTGTGGGATTCCACGGGGCTCTGTCTGTTGATGTTCCGCGGGATGGTTGCTATATTGTATGAGGAACACCTACGTACGTGAGCGACATTGCCAACCGGCTGAAAGGCCAGCAACCGTCAGGTTGTTAATTTAGTGGTTGGATTTGCGTTGTCGAATTAGTTTCAGCGTGGACTGTGGGGTTGGATGATCCGATCCGATCTGTCTGAACTTGGAAAAGGACCCCGATTTTTGTGTAAGCAGTTGCTAGGGAGAAGTCTCTGGGATTTCCAGAGGGACCGATAATCCCATTAAAGCGAAAGAGTTCCCAGGAGGAAAATTAGAGATCAACAATATCCCGGGTTATGTCGGGATGCATTTAAAACCGTGTAAATGTAACAAATATGTCTGTAGTGCATTTTTGAACCTGCGTTCACGTATGCAGAGGTATCCATTAGCCGCAACTCTTTTTTGGGAATAATGAGCATTGCGAAAGGTTTGTATCTGGGTGGATTTGAAAGGGCAAAGTCATGTTGTTCCAGTGCTCCCAGCAAACGAAAGAACTCATCTATGTATTCTTCTTATTTTTCCGGTTGGGAGGGCACACAACAACTTTTCACACTGGGAAATAACTTCAAGTCGTAAGATCCAGAAAGTCATTCAAATAAAATTTGGAAGACATTCATTTTGCTGGTCACTTAATAGAGCTACTCTTCTCCACCTGAAAAATAGGTAACCACTCCGACAAGTAGACTCCAAAAAATTACCCTGCTAAGCTCTGCAATCCAACTCCTCCTTTTCCGAAGGTAATCGTGAAGAACGCAGACGAAGCACTGATGAGAGCTCTAGGTACACGCCTGCTGAAGGAAGAAAACTAGATGGGATGCGCCGTAGTGCAGCCGGACAGATCATTCACGAGTGGCATCCTTCGAAATCTGTTAAATGCAAGACTCGTTTTGGTAGATCCCACACATGTACGGTACGGATAGTTCATTGGAATTTAATGGAGGTGAAACGATCAAGGTAACCGAAACGAGCAAGCGACAAACGCAGAAATCCATAGTTCATTTGCTGCCGACGGAAAAAATCAACCTTCTTTCTTCCTTGACAGGGTCGTTGGGCCATGAGAAACCTAGTGATGGGTGTTGCGTCTGAGATCTCCGTACTGGCTGGCATCCTACTGGCAACCATCGAACCAAGGTCCCCCAAGGAGTGAGAGGTGTCTGGACCTAATCCGTTTAGACCAATAGATTTCAACCGAAGGAAATTTTATTAAGACATAAAGATTCACTTTGCGGTTTTCTGATCTCGAAATTTGTCTATCATCAACTCTGAAGGCATGATGCGAGATCTGGACTGACAAGAGGTTCTGCTGCCTGCGTTATCGAAGATGCCAAGGTCAGAGCTTCAGGTCCTTTGAGTTGTCGCAGTATCCCGGACTGTTATTTTTGTCCGTTACAGCTTCATCTGCCTGCTGTGCGGTTCTGGTCTTTGTTGCTTGACGTTAGTTGCCAGGCAAATGCAGTTGGGAATTAAAGTCAATGACAGACAAAGAATAAGTTGGTTTCAGGCAGAAAGCGGAGGAGGGATAAGGTTTGAAGTCATATGTAAGCGTGTAAAATAGGGGTAAGTTAAAGGGGGTATATCTCCACACCAAAGGGCAGCATGTTAAACTGTGCACATTTATTTTCAAACTTCAAGGTCCAAATGGAGGGTAATTCATTGATACTATATACAGGGGAACTATCTACTAATAATGTGAGAACGAGAAAAATAGAACACCAACTAATGCACAAAGGGGTATGAGAATTCAAAGTGGGGGAAGACATCAGGAGATTCATAATGTGCGTTCCCAAGTAGAGAAGCAAGCGCGCGCCGTGAAAATGCTTCAAAATGATGACCCAAGAGCGCCAGTGAAATGAATCGCTCAAAGTAACTAGAGACTAAAAGACAGAGCGGAGGATGTGGGTAGTTCTTCCAGGTCCATAAAATGTATGCCACCGAGTTGGCAAACTCCAATGCACCGCCAATCTACTGACCAGGTGTTCGACCTGCCATCCATCCCCAACACGGGAACGGCTTAGGCACTGCTGGAATTCGAGGAGGTAGTTGAAATATCAACTCCTTTCGAGCTCTCCCATACAAGGAGATAGAACACCCCGAGACGCAATGGTAATGGACGTCTATCCTCGTCGCTAAAGCACCTGTCGATTCGACATCGAAACGAAATGAAAGTAGGCTACAAGGAAGAGGCTTGCACTGATCATCGCAGCAAGTATATATTGGTCGGTAGCGGACTTTTAATAGTACGCGGCGCTGGCCAATACTGCTGCTATACGAGATCAATTAGCCACCCATTAAAGTCCCAACTTTGAAAATAACTTAACAAAGGGAGAATTTATTCCACAGCCGGGGATTATCGATCACGGATTCCAGGACCTATGACGGATGCCCCTAGTCCATCAGCAATCTGCATCACTCCACGGAGATTGCCGATGGGCTTGGTGTCTCCGACATACGCCCTGGAATCCACGGTCCATCCTCGCCAGATGACCGAGGAGAAATGATCTCAGTTGGAACAGTATTCCCAACAGTAACCACGTCATCATCGCGGGTGGTAGGGTATTCATCGAAGTTGGGCTTGGCCCGAATGCTAAGCTTGGAAGAGTCTGTTGGGGATTGCCGCGGACGTTCCAAAAGATTGGGTTTTAGTTGTATCCGACCCCTCTCCAATGCATGTAACAGGATAGAGTTGACCTCATCTGATACGATCCCCTTCAGTTTACTCATCGTGTCATCGGACATTTGAGACGCATGGACATTCCAACCCAGTTTATCCAGATGTTCTGAAACAATGGATTTGGTGTCGAGCGTTAGTCCTATGTGGTTACGGTGCAAGTATGTCGGTGAGGTTTCGTTGGAGCGACGAGAGATCTTAGATGGTTTCGACTTTGATGAAGAATTGACCGATACTACTTCATCCAGCATACGCTTGTGGGCAGTTGGAACGACGTGTCTAAACGGACCTTCGCCAACTTCATTTCTGATCTTGTAGTATACAAGGCCCAAAGTGGCCGCAAGAGCTTGATGGCAAGCTTCCGGGTACTGGCGAGATGCCTCTGCACGGGTGAGGTCTGAGGGTAAATCACTCGAATCACTGGAGTCACTCATATCACCATCTGTGGAGAAAGTTGAATCGTGTGCGTGCGGCATACGGCCCCAATACTGGTAGCCTTCCAATTCGTAAAACTCTGCAAGCTCGACAAGGCGATGAACTAGGGGTTTTCAGGGTTAGTATGGTCTCATGCCATCTAACGAGATACCGTTAAATTTTTATCCACTTACTTCGGTTTCGCTTCTTCAAACACCAGAATTTCCAAACAGTTCGGGGGAAGTACTCTGGCCAACGAACAGCTCCGTTTTCTTCAACAAAAGGGACCGGGGTTATGGGTGCATATGCAGTCTGGGCTAGAGAGTTGAATCGTGTCCGTTCCATGTACTTCATACGCGATTCCATTGCCGAGAAACGAGAGAAGACAGCTCCGAAGTTCTGAGACGACTCCCTTTGGAGTGTCATCAAATCAATGTGAAGTTGGCTCACGATAGTCTGAATCTGACTGAGGTCTGTTCGTGTAGCACAAACGTCGGTATGAAGTTTCTGGACATCGATCTGGAGCTGGTTGACATCGCTTTGGAGTTGGCTGATGTCGCTCTGAAGAAAGTCTTCCTTCGAACTCAGCTCGGAAAGGTGAGTCCTCAGCTGTATCATCTCAGACTTCAACTTCGTTAGGCCATCCTTCAACTGGGACACATCGCCCTTCATCCTTCCTACGTTTAGTTCGATTCGGCTGCAGGTCTGGCGTTGCCCGTCAAATTCTCTTCGAATGTACTCATCTTCCCGATTTCGTCGGTTGACGTATTCATCTTGGGTCAGTATTGAAGTCCGCAGATCGATTACTTTAGCATCAAGCTGATGTAAACGGTCATGGATAATGAGGAGTGCTGGATCAGAGACGGCTGGAGGTGTCGATTCTCGTTTCGTGGACAATCTTGGACTGGTCGTCATACTGGAAGCCCTGTGGAGGCTCCTTTCAACCGTGGACATGACGAAAAGGAGGAAAAAGAGGAAGAGAGAAAAAACAAAGACAAGAAAAGTGCTCATATGACTGGAAACATTCTGACTGTAGATATTTTCTTTGATATTAACATGAACTTCGGTTTGGGAATGCGGGTATTTGGCGGGAATTGGGTGGCGGAAGAGTTGAGAACAGGAGGTGAGGAGAAGACAAAAGGGAATGACCGCGCCAAAGGGGCAGCAAATGTGGGAATTTTTGGCTCTTGGGGGGGCAAAGTTGGACACAAAGCCATCATCCGGTCTCCTCAATGGATGATGGCCCAACCTGAATAATCTTGATGCAACCGTGAAACCGCTATTCTCAAAGCAGAAGCATCGGCTGATGCCAAGGGAGAAGGCGCATTTTAAGTCTCACACGAAATATATTGAATACCGCTAGTGGTATTAACCCAGTCTCAGATGATGCCAACAGCCACACATCAAAGCGGAACAAGTCGGCGAGATTTTCAGGAGAAGAACGATATAGCTTCTTGATTCAAGCAATAAAGCTATACAAAAGCCGATGTGAAATAAAGGCCAAAGAAATATCTTTGAACAGGAGAAGATATACGGAAAGTATGGGGAGGTTTCTTGTGCTGAAGCAGGCTGAGAGGGAGGAGAGAAAGGCGACTGGCGACCACAACATGCTTGTTACGCAGTATTGCGCTAAGCAAATTTCCAGCCCGCAGCGCTAACGCAGCTAACCATACTGGGGCCTTTTTTTTCGCTGTGGTCCGGAATCCTATCGTCCAACCAATTCAGTCTAGCAAATTTCATGGATTGGAGTCTTGCACAGGCCTAGCTCGATAGGGCATAGATTGACGCCCACCGCCTCATCCTGCAAGCAAATGGGCTTCAGCCCAGAGTCCAACAAAATGTATCTGTCCGCTTCAGCCTGCCTTAGCGTCATGACACGATTCTTGCCTCCCTGGATCATAAGTACAGGGTACACGTGACAACAGAAATAGATTTATCAACTGATCACGTTATTGAGCCCGGTCGGACCGAGGAGAGTCTTGGTTGTGTTGGGCCAGGGAGACTTTGGCACCGTCCACGAGTTGTTGTGGACCCGTCACTGCATCACGTTAGTGGCCCAGGCTGAGGGATCCCGAGACAAACAGAATGGTCCTTTCTAACGAAGTCGCCGCTCGCTTCCCAGCCTTGGAAAGCCCATATTAGCCAGGTGAGAGAAAGGGGAATTTCAGGATTGTGGTCTGGTTGGCTCCAGCTTAAACGCACGTTAACGTCTCCAACTGCGTCTATTGGGTACAGTAACCAAGAAGCAGGCACCGAAGAATGCATTTGTACTTCAAGGATGGTCGAGATCATATTATGCTGCCCGATTTGAGAATCAGAAGTCAGCGGCAAAAGGTCCCTGAGCATGGCAAGGGATATTGTCACGGACGATATCTCCGTTAAAAAGTTCGCCATGCGGCTGGCAAATGGCACAGTCTTAAGAACCAGGTCGACACCGTCAGGCCTAAACGTATTGGAGGAATAATACGCATATTTCCCGTGAGAAGCCTATCATAAACCCCTCTGCACATGTCAAAGCGACAACCACAAACGGGTGAGGCACGGCAGACGTGGGTCAACTTGATATCAAATAAGACTGGTATCAGGATTTCAAGAAATGTCCCAACATCGGCAGATCCTGCCTTTTGAAAACCCATAGGAATGTGTGTGCAGATTTTCCAGCTGATATGGCTTGAGAAGAAACAGTAGCTGCACTGGTGGGTCATAGAAAAGCTGAAAACGAGGGCCTCTCGGAGCACCACAACACCATCCCCTGTAATAGAGAAAGGGACTCAAATCGAAAATAACTTGATAAAAGTTGCTGAAACAGGGGTTGGCCAGGGTAAGCTCTAGAAGAGGTATATAACAAGTTCAAATCTTGGGTCAGAGTTGACACCTGCGCAGAGATGGGCTAACTGATGAAGATGTGACGATGCGCCCCGTGAGCAACATATATGGTTTCTTTTTGATTCTCTGGGAGTCTACTCGGTCAAAACGCCAGAACTCGAGGGATGCACCAGCAATCCCTTGTATAAATAATGATAAATACGGGGTAGAAGATAGTTGTTCAGAGACAAACGAAAGAATGGCAGAGGATTTGTGGATGGAAGCTTAGCCTAAAACAGATTGTCCGAGATTTGTTGGCGGTTAGGCAGCACTCGGGATATCGATGTTCCGCCAGAACGCGCCCGAGTTCACATCCCGTGACTTCAAGGACAATTAATTGACTTTGGAGCCCATCGTATCTCTCTACGCACACTTGACGAAAGTCCCTGATTTGTCCTCCCTGGTTTGGTCTGGGGAAGTCTCTTGGGGAATCAATCCATGATTATTAATGGAATAAACTCGTTACCTTTTGCCACTAGACTCCGCTTGAACCTGGTTGTGGGCTGCAGACGGGATTGACCAAAACGCCAACCAGAAGTATATCTATGGATGTCACGAAAAGTTACGTTCAGCTATCATTAGCATTGAGATAATTGAACTCCTTCGACATCAAGGAAGCAGATGGGTAGCTCGATATTCTCTCTTTCACTTATATATCACCACCCGCGCAACACCAGGTAAGGGGGTCACCATTTCTTTCGAACTGGGGTTCCGCCCGGTTGGACTTCATCGTGAAACAAACATCCATATTCACGTCGAGACCTGGTATGGCTCGACTTATGAGACTGGATTTGATGGTTTTGAATGATCCTGTTTGGATGGATCACGTTTCAGAGCGGAACAACGGTTGAATGATGAAACGACCGTACGTGAATATATCATACTGTACATGGACGTGGAGGAGATGAAGATGATGATATGATGATTGAGCTCTCCATACACCCTGGAAGTTGTATTACTGATGCTCCAGATACGGAACTACCGTGGTATTGTTATGTTCCCGGATATGATAATTGGAGTGGTAACCAACCTCCCCTTTCCTCCCACTGCTCGACCAGCCCAGTTGAGCTGATCCATTCCGAGGGCTATAAATGAAACACGGGGAGATGTGCAGAATGAGAGAGGAATCTCTCTTCGTGTTGCTATTGCTTGTCTAATGTCCGGTGCTTTCCTCAACTCCCAATTCCCTCTGTACCCTACAAGCACCGCACCTGCCCCGGGACACAGTTGGAGCAGCCGTTTCTTCAGTAGCAGAAACTCGCTATGGCAGAGACCTCGTCCTCTAACGTTTTGGATTTGTGGTGGTGCCGATACGGGCTACTAAAAGCCCCCATTCTTCAGCTTTATTATATCATGCGCTATTAATATCACTTTTTTTGCGCTTCAGTATGAAATATATTCCTTGTTTTGCACTTTTTGCGTTCGTATGCCTTGGGGCTGCGGCTAGGGGAAGAGCTCCTGGAAAGACCAATAGAGACGAAAGCGATTACTCAGACAATCCCTTAGACAGATGTGAATGCTATGTGGTTTCAGGGCCCGAGCCGGGGTATTTCCAGAACTACAGGTTTTACGACTTTCGATCAGTCTCCCCGGAGAAAACCTGGTCGGCAAACTCCAAATCGCCGAAGCCGGTCCAGAACAGACCCTCCAACTCGAACAAAGAATCTCGCATAAACCTTGAAGAGACAGGCTTTCTCGACGACTGGGAGATCCAGGACTGGAATAGAGATGGGTCATTGCTGTACCCAATCCCTATTCGGAACTACTATGAAAATGTTTTCGTCCTTGAAGACACCACGAACAAGTCGACCGACTCGACCTACTTAGCTCTTCGAACTCAGAGACTGGAAAACCATACCTCAACGGCAGAGATTGAAACATACATCTACAACATTTTTCGTTGTTCTCTCAGGGTTCGACTGCGCCTTCATGCTGGGCGACATGGACGGCTTGATGATGTGGATGACGGTGAGGATGGGGATGGGGATTGGGATGGGGACAGGGACGAAGATGAAGACGATCTTGGTGTCGATAAAGACACAATTCCATCCAGTGGCCGTAATCGTTCAAAAATGTCTCCAGTTAATTTCCGCCTGCGACCACCGCCTAAGGGAGCGGTAGCAGGTATTTTCACATATTACTCCAGAACGGTTGAGTCGGATATTGAAATATTAACCTCTGACCCTTCAACACAAGTCCGTTATGCCAACCAACCAGATTGGGATCCGATAACGGACCTGGAGATACCAGGGGCGAGCACGATAGCTCAAATTCCCATTCCCTGGACAACCTGGGCAACCCACCGCCTCGATTGGTTTCCGAATATGTCGCGTTGGTATCTCAATAATGATCTTCAAGACGAGAAGGATTATCATGTTCCTGATAAACCCAGCATGCTTGCTTTGAATCTGTGGAGTGATGGAGGCGAATGGTCGGGAAATATGACGATTGGCTCTACAGTGCTGATGGGCATTGAGTGGATCGAAGTTGCTTACAACACTTCGAACACTGATGAGCTATCTGAACTTAACCGAACGCGTTTTATGGGACACGTTAGATCTTCTGGGCGTAACCGCCCTAGGCCAATATTAGATGAGAGCATCATGGTGAAGTCGATGCATCATTGGGAAAAGCCAAAGAAACATGGCTTGAAAAGGGATGACTTCAAAGATGACTCCGAGGAGAGCGATTATGGCGATGAGAAACACCTGCATTGTCTGGTCGGATGTCGAGTTGACGATGTGGAAACCGTCGGGAAACCAGAAATTCTGTGGGACTATTCGCAGCCGCATTCAAACACGCCTTTGGAGAATTGACGACCGTAGTGCTCATGTTGTTTTTTATTTCCTACTTAATCGAGCAAAAACATAACTCTACGCTAGAAAAGACAGTTTACTCTTGGACTGTTCTGTATATCAGCTTCTTCTTTCTTCCCGTTTCCTTTTTTTGGTCTCCGCAGTCCTTTCTTACATACCTGGTTGGAAGGCGGCTGCGTTCAGAGTTGCCCTTTGTGTCCTCATCATTCTTCTTTCCCATGAATTTATGGATAATTTTTGCCCTCTCTGGTATATTCTTATATGGAGTGCTGTTTCTCCGTCCACCCGCAAGACAAGATAAAAAGCTATATATTGCGGATTCTATTCCCCTTCGCCCTGCAAATGGAAAACTGGTCTTCATTGCGATATCCCTGGGCCATGGTTGTACAAAATCTACACAATAGGACGTACGCTGTTGCTTCTCACTTTACCCTCTCGTCTCCTCGATTGGAAGTAAAAATTGGAAGCAAAAATTGGAAGCAAACAGAGGGCCCTTTGGGAATTGAAGAGTGAAACTCTGTTTCCACGTCATTTGGTTTAGTAATTTGATGTGATAATGACATAGCATATAAAAGGTTTTTCATGAGTAGTGATAGTTACCATGAATTTTATAACCAGGGGAATGCAAGATAAATGTAGGTACATAGAGCAATCTTCCTATCCAACAATCATCAGATTGCCTTTATCAGACACAGAAAGCCTTGACAATATTAATCGTGCCGCTGCGCAACCCATACCTCATGTGGGTGCGCCACACCAAAAAACACCAAAATGATAAAAATCTTGAATCACATCCTTGTTATTGCACTCTATATCAACAATCAATAGCTAATCTATAATAAAAAGATTATCTACATCATTCTCAGTATGTGTGTCATCTTTAAATTGATTTAATTCCTCTTCTGTTAGTGATATGAGTGAGTTATTATCAATTTTTATGAGATCAACTTTAAGTCTTTATCACTTCTTATTCTGTTCTTTTTCAGCTTTATTATTCTTACACTGCATGATTTTTCTATTGACATCTTTAATAGTGAGAACTCTCTCTACTTGAATCTAATAACAGATTATTTTAGCTGTGTAGTATTTACTGATATTGAGAAAGTTTTTTTAATTCAATAATCTATTACTCATTAAATTCTACATGAATTAGACTTGCTTTGAATATTTTATTCAAACAATGTATCAAAAAGATGAGTGATTTCAATTTGAGAGTATCTCTAATACTTTATATAATATTTTTTATAATATTAATATAATATTTCAACTTTTGAATTATTTTTAATGAGAATAACTAAAAAGAAGAAATAGATATATAATCTGAATCATTCTCATTTTCATAAATTTACAGTGAAGAAGGTGATGAGATTCACTGCTTAAGAGTATTAAGAACTCAGTTAGAATTTCATAAATATATATCATATTGAGCTTATTTTACAGCTATTGCATTAGATTTAAAGATCTGCTTTTGTATAGCTGAGAGATCTTATAGAAATTGCTATTTTTCATACTTAATAAGATCATAATATATAGTATAATTGACTGCTTTTAAATGATAATACTTATATTACTGAAATGATAAACTATTTAGAAATTATAGCAAATGAGTGATATACAATGAAAATTCATATAGAATTATATTATGAAGATCTGTATATTGTATGAACTTTTTAGTGATATGAGATTCATAATTATTTATTAAAAGTAATTAAT